CAAGGGCAGACACATGATAATTGACACACATTCTGATACATTATCATCCAAAGGCAGGTACAGAACCTTGTATTAGGTTGAAATTTGAAATGTGTTTCAAACTCATCAGCAGTCTTAAGATCCTCTCTGAATTTTGGATTTCCCTTTCCATAACGTGGCTCTGCAGTTCCTAAAACGCCGTGATTCCAGGGCGCTCGGGGCATGCAGCAATAAGAAGGGAGTGCAGAACGTGGTTGTATCTGCTTGTTTTCCTCGTGTGGTGTTGTCTGTGATCAGTTAACTTATCAGTTCGTTAAGAAAACCCAATCTAGAGACCAGATGATCAACCATCACTCCAAAGATGCAAGGGCAAGGCAACAGGGAAACCAGATCCCTGGCACCAAACCTCCAGAATGGAATGAATGAGAATGTTGATACATTTAACAAGAAACCAGAGTCCCTGAACAATTTATGTAGTGATTGTTCAATGGGAACCTGATTTGCTATGTAAACTTTCATCGAAAACACAATAAAGTATTATTTTAAAAAAAGAGAAGGAAAACCCAATCTTGTGAGTCATAGGGATCTAACAAGTAATCCTTTTATGTCCTCATTTCCAAAAATCCTTGACTTGACGGTATAACTCAGTAAGTCTAATTAACCAGTTTGCATCACCTAGCTGCACGAATACGTGACAAGAAACACAATAGCAACAAAACATCTTAAGTAATTTTGGGTAGTACTTTTTAAATCGGTGGTGAATATGAATAGGAACTGAGGAAATTGTTGCTGTTGTTGTTGGGTGCCGTCGAGTCGATTCCAAGTCATAGCAACCCCATGTGACAGAGTAGAACTGCCCCTTAGGGTTTTTTAGGCTGTAATCTTTATGGCTGCAGCAGTACATAAACAGGGAACTGCCAGAAATTCAAGCTGGATTCAGAAGAGATGTGGAACGAGGGGTATCATTGCTGATGTCAGATGCATCATGACTGAAAACAGAATAGCAGAAAGATGTTTACCTGTGTTTTCTTTAATATGCGATGGCATTTGACTGTGTGGATCATAACAAATTATGGATAACATTGCGAAGAATGGGAATTCCAGA